TCCCTACACAGTGCTGTGCAATAATTTTTATATCGAACACAAAAGTAACAAATTAAACACTTCAAAAAGGAATGAACAGTMAACATTTTCAGTGTAGAATTTCATAAAATTTCTGTTAGAATAATCGCATAATACAAAACTGACATCTGTGTAAAAGTTTATTAATAGCATTTGAACAAACCACTATGAAATTTGAGTTGTTTTATGATGGCAACGATCCACTATTTCTCTAAACTGAGACTGTGAGACTGCTATCTACAACAGGTAGGATATTGTTTATTGGTGTTTTTCCACAAAAATCCACTTTAAAATGTCTGAACTATACCTTTTAAATATGAGGACATAAAAATGTTTCTTTACCCATCTTACTGTGCCTACATCTCTGCAGAAATAGCTCCACGTTTTACATGTTAAGTGTTTTTTACCCTTACAGTCAGCTATAATAAAACAAATCAACCATATCAGAAGCTTCAGACGTTTTCATCTTTAAAACTTGACAAGGCCACACTTGAGCCTTATGGTTTCTACTATAACAGCCATTAAAGCTAATTTAAAATGATATATGTCCGCCTTATCAGACATGATTTGTCTAAAACTCCATGTCCCATTGAAGACACTGAGGAAACTGCAGAGTATGGTGGTTTTAGTGGTGTAATGGTGTAAGATGAAGGTTTCTTGACGTATATTACATAACTAACATGAGAGTAGCCGTTGTTGACACCCAGCTTCAATGTCATAGATTAAAAATCTACGTAAGACGCCATGTTTAGCCTGTATAGCAGAGATTATTAGTCTGAGTGACGAGCAGCACCGGCTACAGGAAGCTAATCATGTTATTTATCGGTAGCTAAACGGCGTACCGTTTCCGGTAAAAAATAAAAAATAAAAACCGGCAGAGCTTTAACAGCTCCATTAGTACTTACCGGTAAACCCACGACACCGGGGTTTAAAATGTCATGAGACAAAACGGTGTAAGTTCTGTGTTAATAATAGAGACGGGTGTTACTCCGAGAAGTGCATGTCTGCCGAGATATGCGTCCCCCGTCGCGGGAGCGCGCATCAATATGGCAAGCCGTTGGAGCCATAAATCCACTCAACTTCCGCCCACGGATTGTAATCACGTTTCTTARCAATGAAAGGCATGAAAATGTTTAGTTTCTTTGTCATAAAATAAACACGTTTTTGAAACCTTTCTCTAAACATGTTTGACTTCAGTGTCGGATGAATTATGTTCTCTGCTCCGTGGTTTAAATTTATGTCACACTTTCCGCCTGGTTTACCAAATGCCGTAA